TCACGCCATTCGGCACCATTATCCTCTTTCCACCAAGCTGGCCGTTGTCGGTGTAGACCTCTTTTCCAAGAAGACGGTTGAGTGCCCCGGCGCCTGTCAAGATGAGTGGTGCATCGTCTGTCTGAATCACACGGCGGCCAATGCGGTTCAAGTATGCTCCGATACCAACGCTGCGTCCCGTCACAACGCTGATGGTCGGCACTTCGCTGTAATTTTTAGACATCTGCCCCGCCACAAGACCGGAGCCGCGCAGGTTCTCCACACCCAAATACTCATCCGGTGCACCAACAATGCCGCGGATAACGTAACGCGTTTCACCGTTGCCGTCTTTTTCCTGCCTTGGCTCCACCGATAACCGCACGCCAAGCCGCATCAGCTCCTCGTAATCTTCAGGCAAGAGATACAAATATTTCAACTCATTCGTCTCACTCAGGGCAACACGAAACCGCTTCTTTACCTCCACACTCAACCCAAGTCGCGCCCCACTGTTGGCGCTGATGTACACAAAAGGCACACGTAATCTTCGGGCCAGCTCGGAGGCCGCAGAGAAAACGTCATCCTCCGGAACGGCAAAAGAGCCGGACTGAAACGCAATGTCATTGGCAACCATCACAATACGACGAATTCCGGCGGTGTCCGTGTCGCTGTCGTAGTACGTTGGGGGAACAATAGTCACCAGCCACACAATCATTCCACATGGGATGTGTCCCAGCGGTTTCTTTTCGCAGAGGGTCTTGCCGTCGGAGGCGTCAAGAAAAAGTTCCTTCGCCCTGATCACCTCCTTTGGAATACATTTCCATGAGAGGCCTCGCCCGGATGCATGTTTCTCCCATTGATTTCTCAGCACTGTTTCCAGCAGCAGCGGCCAGTCGTGCACGTAGACGGTTTTTAAGGACCGTGCCTGAAGGCGCCTCAGTTGTTTTGAAGAGACCATCGGATACGGCCCCAACGGGAGAGATTCCTCAATTTCATCACTCGTCTCACACCCCGGCGTCTCCATCTTATCACGTGAAGGAAGCAGGTTTCGCAGCGCCTCCAGCTTCGACAGAGTGCGTAAGAGAGTACGAGGCGCAAGGTTACTGTTATGATTGTTATTGGTGCCATTGGAACCGTTGCCCTTATCCTTTGAGCCAGAATAAAAGTCGTTGGTGCTTTCATTTAACTTGGATGGGGTTGTGAGGACGACGTCCTCTGAGCTCTCTGCGCGGCGCAGGCAAATCACGCTGTTTTCAATCAACTCGTAGCATGTACGCATGACAACATGATAGCCCGAAGGGGATGATATCATAACGCGGAACGGGATGCAGCCGCTGCTGACCTTCAAGTTGAATGAGAGCTCCACCTCAGCAACACCCAAGTAAGTCAACCGCTGCCGATAAGACTTGAGGACACGCTCAAATAGTCTCTTCATCTTCGCAATGTCAAATGTAAGCTCCGCCATTTTGATAAAGACGTGATTGTAAATGGGATACCTGAAGGCGTTGTCGTTGCGCGCAAATTCCAGCGCACCAAAACACTTGGTAAGCATGTGCCCTGCGTCAACCTCATTTGCCTCCGTCCAGGCCTCGACGCCCAAATCACGTGGGCTCAAAAACACACGCGCAAAGATGCGGCTCTCCAAGTACGATGCATTCTTCTTCTTTGGCGTCGCACGAAAGACGTGAACATCCTTGAATGGTGTCGGGTACATGG